TCTCTCTCTCTCTCTCTCTCTCTCTCTCTCTCTCTCTCTCTCTCTCTCTCTCTCTCACACACACACACACACACACACACACACACACACACACTGATAATAATAAACGCACAGAAAAACATAGAAGTAAAAAAAAAAAAAAGGTAATCATGAAATGTCATACAAAAGTCATGTCGAAATTGCATAAACAAGTGCAATATGAAATACATGTCGCATGTCACGACGCATGATACAAAGTGCCGCCGACAATCATACTGAGTCGTACGGAGTCGTACAACGCAAGGATGCACCCTACTCTGCTAACCAACAAATCTAAAAAGCAAACCCTAACATACATCCACGTCATACGACGAGTCGGAATAAAGTTTCGCCTCGAACATAAACCCAGTAACCAAAAAACAAGATCCGAACACCGTACATAAACCATAAAAGGAAAAAAAAACCAAAAAAAAAAACACTATCGATGACACTACCTGCACACTGAAGTCTGTGAACTGGTCCTGAGCGCCTGAGGCCTAACCATAAGTACATCGTCCTGCATAATGTACAAAAAGAAGTGCACGCTGCGAGCAAACAACACAAACGCGACGTGGAAGGGAAACAAGGTTGTCACTACCGTCGACCTCCCTTCCCCTTACCACTACCTCTCTGCCTCTCCCCACCCCTGCTGCGTGTCGATGAAACACCCCCTCGGCCCGGCGAGGTCGCAACGGATGACCCTCGCCTCCTCCCATCCCTCGTCTCCCGCCGCCCCAGAGGGGACGAGTCGTCAACGTCATCGCGGCGTCTACTAGCCACATCGTCTACCAGAGCCACGCCGCGGTGGAGGGGAGGGCTCGTCGTCGTCGTCGTAGCTTTCGTCATCCCCCCTGTCACTCTCCTCCTCCACACTGTCCTCGTCGTCCCTGTACTCGTCATCCTCCTCTGGGACCTCCTCAATCGCCGGCTCCATCTCCGGATCATCCTCCACCACGGTCACAGGGTCAGTCCCCGTCCTCACCTGAACAAGCCTGGCACTCACCTGCATCACCTCTGCGACTGTCCTCTCACGATGCGAACCTCGTGGCATCCCCAACCCCTCGGCTCCAGAAGACTCCCCCAATGCGGCACCCCCCGTTGCAGGCATGGGACGAGGACGAGCTGCTCCGCTCCTGCGCGGAATCTGGTCACGCACTGCATGTGCGGCTGCTGCCAAAGCGGCCGCAAAGGTAGATCCAACCTCTCCACCCCCACGAACATGTCTCGACTGAGATACTACCGCCATGACCTCCCTCATCGCACCCCTCCCGGTGTCAACCCCGACCAAACCTGGCTGTCGTCGTGCAGTGTGCACTGTGACCTGACGCGTGGAGTCCAGGTCTATATTTGTCCTCCTGAAAAGTGACGTGTCAAGAGGGAGGCTCCCTACGGTCGTCGTGTCACGAACCCTGGGTCTGTTGTGCGTGGATGGTGAGCGGGGGGGTGGACGTACTGGTGTCAAGGGGGAATCGTTGTGACGTCCTCTCGGAAGAGGAGGCGGCATGACAGGTCTGCTACGGTCGGTGTCCTCCTGCCATGTGACTGCACGCACAGCAGCCCGTGCGATCTCCGCCGCATCCAATGGCCGCGATGTATCGTGAGGAGCTCACAGCCCACTAACCGGTGTCTGAAGCGGTGGCTCGGATCCTAAATCCATGACTCTGAATGGTGGTACCGCAATAGATGCCGCCACCCCAGGACCAAACCCCTGGACACACGGTCGAACTAGCCGCGACGTCGTCATCAGCTGCAGGTCTGTGAACCGCACCAAGGAACAAGGAGCTCCAGTGATATCTGCTGCGGGTGCATCCCCATGCTCCTCCCGAGGCTGCTCTCGTACCTCCTCGCACCGCTGCTCAAGCGTGTGTCTCTCTCTCTTGGACCATGCTGCAAATGCATGCTCGATCTCCTCTGCGGAGTAACCCGTGGCCGCCAGGGCACACACCGTAGCCTCTCTCTCCGCGTGATGAGGGCTGGGGGGACCCCCCAAAGACATATCCATGAAATCCCCCATCCCCAGCCCAGACGCCTCCCTATCTCCTAATGGCGACCCCCCCAATGCCCTCCTCGTGCCCAGGGTCAAACCCGCTAGTGCGGGACCTATCTCGTCATCGATGAAACGTTGGACGATCGGGTCAAGGTGGTCCTCTCCCTCTCCTCTGCCATGGGCGAATCCCCCCCTGCCATGCCCTCTTATGCCCCAACCAACGCGGCAGCATCTGCCCTCACCACGTCCTCCTCCATCTCAACCTGTGCATCACCTTCGTGTACCCCTGCCACGGCCTCCACTCTCTCAACCTGCTCACCATCATGGACCCTCGCCACGGCCTCCTCTGTCTCGACCTGTGCACCATCATCTACGTCTACCTGCGTTCTGTCGGCCCCCCTTGCTCTCTCCTCGAGCGTGGACGACAACCTCATCTCCACTGCTCCAGCAGCCTCCTCCGCGATACCCCGAATACCCTCAACTTCGCCCGCTCCCGCGGCCTCATGCTCCTCCGCTCGTCGCACCCTCTCCTCCATCAGTGGCGCCCCGCTATCAACACCCACCTCCTCCAAGTCGCCCCCCCGTTCACGGGGTCTGTGAACGGAGCCGGTCATAGAGTTCACAAAGTTCACGACACGGGAGTTCATGGAGTTCACGGAGAGCGGTATTTTTTTTTTTTTTTTTTTTTTTTTGGGGGGGGGGGTTTTTTTTTTTTTTTTTTTTTTTTTGGATGGGGGGTATGTTTTTTTTTTTTATAGGAGGGTGGGGGACATCGAAGGGTAACTCCCTATAATTTTTTCAAATGTTTTTTTCATGAATAATATTTTTTTTTAATTAAAAACGAGAAAAAAAAAAATCACCCAGCCAAAATAAGCATTTTCTTTTGCTATTTTGTAGGTCATTTTGATTTTTTTTTACTTTTCAATGTCACCACGCTGTGGGGCTTGAGGCGAATATACCAGCGGGAGCCAAAAAAAAAAAAAAGGGAAAAAAAAAAAAAAAAAAAAACACTCTTTACTGGTCGACCCGTTCACCGTGAACGACCGTTCACAAAAGAAACAATAAATGAACGGCCGGTCACGTTCACGGGTCCGGCACTGGCGCTCGTCATGCGGAATGGGAGGGGTCGGAGCAGTTGGCGGGACAAAATGACGAGGATGACGCAACGATACTGAGGGTCTGGACTGCGTCGCGGGACTGCTCGTCTGGTCCCGCGTGGTCTTGGGAGCAGGAGTCTGCTCCTGCGCGGTCGAGGGAACAGTCGTCTGCTCGCACGATGTCGTGGCAAGACGCGGCTCCTCACTTGGAGTCATGGGAGCAGGCCTCTCCTCCCGCAAGGTCATGGGAGGACGCGTATGCTCCCGCGCGGTAGTGGGTGATCTCTCCTCTGTACCCGTAAAAGATCCCCACAGATCCTCCTCGGTCCCCATCATATCTATGTCTCCCTGGTCTGCCGCCCCCCGCGTGGTGCGCGTCCTCTCGTCACCCACGTTGCCCTCCTCGTGCAACTCGTCAGAGTCAATCTCTCACGGGATGGGAAGCGCGGGGTCGTCCGCGGCTTCCGTCTTCTTCTTATCCCCGAACTCGTCCTCCCTGGGGTACGGACGAAAGATGGTGGCACGAGCACCGAAAACAGACTCAACCGAGGGCGGCGCAGAGGACCCGATGGGATCGCACGAAATGAGGGCAGCCTGCTCCTCGATCTCCTCCTCTGCAATCCCACTCCTCGTCCCCGAACGTACAGGGTCGACCTCCAACCCCGCCTGAGCATTAAGCATACCCTCGTCTCGCTGCCAAGGGAGGACGTATCCACAACCTGCACATCTGTACTCCATCAATCGCACATTTGCGATGATCTCGACAAGATGAACGACCTTCTCGAAGGCCAACTGATTGCACTTCTTAGTGTGAATGCCCTTGTGGACCGCCCAGTTCCTCTCCGCAGGAGAGGCGCAGGACCACATGTGCATTACATGAAGGGCGCAATACTGTAAATCGGGTGCGTCTCCCCCATACTGAGACCACCACGACGCACACTCCAACATCTCGCAATCCCCGCTGCAACTACGGGCTCGAGCGCGGCCCTCTGCCCCACCCCATGTCCCATACCTACCCTGCTGCAGGTGGAAGTCCTCGAACTGCCGACATATCTCAAGGTAACGAGCACCCCCCTCGTCGAAGCCCGTCTGAGACAACAGATACCTCTTGGCTTGTCGAAAAACCCAAGTGTGGTACTGGTCAAGTTCGCGGAGAAGTACTGAACATCTCGGCAGCGGGGGTTCAGTAAGAACGTCGCGCAGTGTGCAGGCTCCATCATGTGTTGTATGCGTGCCTGCACACGCCTCATGACACGGTCAGAAAACGACTGGCCAAGAGGGGCACATGCATCTCGCAAGAGACGTGCAAGATCCTGAGTCCACTCTACAACGAGGGACATGAACTGCCTGCCACGGTCCATCCGCCTCAACAAGTCCATAACGGGCTCCATAATGTGCTTGATAGCACGCATCCTCTCCCACCAAGGGGACCACCTGATCTGTCGGCGCACCCAACGCGCCATGTCGCGGACGTCGGGGGACCACGGATCCAAGCCCAAACCCTCTCGTCCACCGCTGTCATCATGCTCTGCAAACGATCCTTCAGAGCTAGCAGCCTCTCCAACATGGAGTACACGGATGAAAATTGCGTCGTGCATGAAAGAACGAGACCCAGTGCCCCGTTGCGCACACGAAAGAAGCTGAGAGCGGCCTGGTGGGTTTTGAAAAACACCACCAGAACTCGGGCACTCGTGATCGTGTCCACGAAAGACGTGCAGATCGTGCCAATATCTGACAACAACTTGCTGCAAACATGGACGCAGCACGGGAGCCAAGTGATCCTCCTCAGCTCAGGGGGCATAGATGGCGAGGCCAAAGCCCTCTCAGCCCCCACGTATGCAGAAGCGGAGTCAGTGCATTTAGCATTGACCCGCCGTGGGCCACCGAATCTGAAACCGTGAAAGATGGTGACCCATCTCTCCAGGACGTGCACCGCATCGTCCGGCTCCCCCTCTCGGTTGATCGTCGTGTACATGACGACCCCTCGAGACCCAGCTGTGAGGAAGTTCATGATCGGTCGCCCGTCTCGTGACTTCCTCCCGTCAGAGAGGAGGGTGGCACCACTGACCCAAAATGACTGCCTCACCTCCTCCAGCTCCTCGGCCAACTCCTGGCAATGAATCTCCACAGTTCGCATGCTTGCGATCTCACTATGGGAAGGAAGCACGGGAAGAGGTCCTCCACCAGGTTGCTGAAGAGCAACCTGCTGGAAGTCCCTCCACGGGATGTTGCAGAAGGCATTGAAGGAAATCCCGTTGGAATACGCCCAGTGAAAAAATGTCTTCCTCCACCGACCGATCCACTCGCCACCATAATTGTTTGTTACCTTCCACTTTCGCAGCCTCTTCTCGGCCTTGGTGGCAGAAATTTGTGCAACCCCGTCCTTCCTCTTCGAAGAGCCTAACGACACTGGCGTGCATACCATCTCCGGACCAGCACTCCTCTAAGATCCCAGCGTGCATGCCGTTTCAGGCGGGACGGGCTTCTTCCCGTAGCTCCGCTCCCAGTCCACCGTCCTCTGACGAGTCAGCGGATCGAACTCGGGCATAGCCCCCTCTCCCCTCAACGTCCGCTCCCCCTCAGCCATGCCAACCTCCACGTCGAAGTCCGCCTCGTCCCCCTCCGCGGCACCCGCACCCTCCCCATCTCTCGCAACATCTCCCTCTGCAGAACGCTGGGCATCCTCTCCCTCGCCCACGCCGTGTGCAGGACGTTCCGCCTCGCCACCCATCGCACCAGACCGCGGAACATCGAGACCATGCCGCAGTGCAAACCTCACACCCTCTCCACCTGATCGCCATCGAAGCGGTGTGTGCATTTTTGCGCTATCGGGAACAACGCTTCGTCAGACACCTTCTTGCAATAGTTCGTCTGCGTGAAGTGTTTCAATGCGTAGTATTGGGTCCCCTGGAACACCTTATTGCAGAAGGTACACCGCAGCCTTGCGGCTATAATCGTGTTGCACATGTTCCGGCGCAGTCTCATGCTCGCAATTTTGTTTTCGCGGCATTTTGAACCCCCTCTCTAAGTCGCGCCCGTCCGGACGTGAGCGCCTCCCCTCGTGCAGCACACCCTATGACCGTTGAGTCGATTTGACCAAGGCCCCCCAGGGCCCCCACCCCCTTAGCGGCGCCGCAAGCAAGGTCGTATTCGCACTCTGCCCTGTCCCTCACCCTGCCCCCTTCTCCAAGTGCCAACCCCCCACACGACATCGTCTAACCGCGTTCAACGACTTCGCAACCCGTTCAAATCCCATCGAACGGTCATTGAACGGTCGTTGAACATCCGTTGAATGACCGTTAAAAGGCCGCTGGAAGCCCGCTGTGCGGTCTTTGGACAACCGCCGACCGACTTTCATGGGCGGGTGGATGTCCCGATTTGCAACTTCGGCGTCGGGATCCGACGGCGCCGATTGTCGCTCGGCGATGGCAACTGCATCCATAGAAAACGGAAAAAAAAAAAA